CGGTGATGCGTAGTGCAGCAGGATGTCATGAGTTTCGCGGTCCGTGCTGAGTTCGACGCCGCAATCCATGAGTTGAGCGACGGAGAGCAAGTTGAAGCGCAGGTTCAGGACGATGAGCACATCATTAAGAGTGTTGTTCGCCACGGTGACATAGGTGACCATGGGAGTTGGGACGGCGTTGGATATGTAACGCTCGAAGTCCACCATGTGCTGGCCACAGCAGCTGTCTAGGTACCAGGTGTTGTAGCGCTTGTTGTCGTCACGTGCGAGCAGCGCCAGACGCAGCGTAACGATCTGTGGTGTGTCAAACTTCAGAAACTGCTCACGCTAGAGCCAATCGAGTGGCGCCGCCCACGTATCAGGTACGTGCGGGGGAATTTCAAGCAGCGGGACTGGGAGATTCCAGTCCTGGTCGTCGTCGTCGGTGAAGTCATGGCGTGTGCTGATCGCATTGTTGTTGGAGAACGCACCGATTGGGTGAGGGGCTGGCTCTGGTAATGGCGAGCGCACGCGGCGGCGACGGGATTCGCCTGTCATGGCCATGTTCCTGATGACGTTGCAAACTGGGGTAGGCGATGACGACTGCTGCTGTTGATGCTAAACTGTTGGGTTCAGATTGCCCGATGGGGGTTGATACCCCTGGGCTGGGTCGACGCAAGTCGTTTCGTGCGACTTGTCGGCCAGACCAGTTGCTCGGATTGGTATGGCGAGGGCGACATCGGGACTTGCATCGATCTGCCAGATGCCCGAAGTTTCTGAAAATTTTGCAGTAAAGGCACCGCGGCCGACGCTCTTCAGTGTTGTCGGCGTAGAAGGCGAGGCGTTCCCGGTCTCGTCGCGGCGCTGGTCGCTGCTGGTCCATATCCCTTTGTTCGACGAGAAGGGCGGCGCAAAGGGCGGCCTCCGAGATGACGCCCTGTTGCCGAAGAAGCGCCTTCCAGGGCCGCCACCTCTGGGCCGAGCCCTTGAAGCACGATATTCACGAAGATTTCTTCGGATATGCTGCTTCCCAACTTCGCGATTTGATCGCGGAGGCTCCAACAGCGGTTGATGTAGCTATTGGCCTTCTCCCCTGGGGCCATTTTTGTCTCCAGCAACTACTGGAGCAGGCGGCTGGAAGAAACCGAATATTTCGGTTGATACACACCGTTCAGGTGGCGCCAAGCGTCGAGGGCTGGGGCAGCAGATGTCTTGTATGAGCGAATGCTCAGCTTCTCCGTCGGCAACATGTTCCGTAGCAGGACGCCGGCGGTATCCTCGGCGGGTTCCGCGTAGCTCCCGTCGAAATAGTGGAATATCTGCGTGTTCTACAGCAGAAGCTCCAGCTCGAAGCTCCAGGTATAAAAATGTATGCGGTCAGAACAGAGACTTGTTTCTATTTTTGATATACTCAGAAACCTTGATTGCGCAGAGAGAATTGCTTCTTCGCTGGGACGGGGAGTCTTGGGAGTTGAGCCATTTGTGTCGCGGGTGAAGGTGTGCGGGGCGGTGTTAATGCCGTTCAAGGACGGTTGAGCGGGTTGAGAGGAAGTTCTCGCGTCCCCATTCTGCAATGTTTGGGGTCCTTGCTCCAGGCTGGTGAGTCGCTGAAGCAGGACGGCGGTACCGATCGTCGTCGTTTCCTCGTTTGTCGCAGCCGGTTTGGACTGCGCTTTAGCGGTCAGATTCGTCTGACCACCAGATCCTCCGGCCATCCTTACACGCGATCGTGTGCCGGACGCCACCTTTCGTTCGTCGAAGGTTTCGGAGGGGGCAGTGCGAAGGATTCCCAAGTCGCTCTCATATCATGCTATGATTAGAAGATGATCGACCCTAGGATCACCTCGGGAAGGTTCGCACGTAGTGGATTGGTGGAGGTGGGCCCTTGGCCTCAAAACAGAGTGAATGTAAAATGTTTTGAGACGATTAAAACATGCAAATACAAGCACGTAAATGATAGTACAATGGGAATACGAAACGACCCAGCTAGCCATGTACTCTAAGAGGTACATTCCCTTATTCAAATTCAAACCCAACCGTGCGACTCGAACAGTTACGAAACTGTTCCCGCCAATTCCCTTGATCATGCAGCTGCCCGATACCGTCTACTCCGACGGCCTAGATCAATTCCAATCGCCTGCGTCGCTTCGATTCAGCTCTGACTCTTCACGTTCATTCTCGATACTGCATGCTTCCTTTGCTGCGGTGAGGAGTGCACAGTAATATCAAGTATTACTATTCGTAACATATTTGCCTTCCTATAAATGGATACTCTAATTTTTAGGAATCATAGAATGCAACAGATCCGGTTTACACGAAATGGAAAACCTCTCTACACTTTTGAACAAACGCAAAATATTTATTCTTTCATACGTCACATCTTGGTTTTTGCAAAGAAGCATAAGAAACAACCGACGGTTTTCGTAAACTGGGATATTACAGCAGGGCGAAGTGAAAAAGCGGTTTAGGAAGCGGCCACTTCCGCTGACATTTGTTTGGAGATTTGGCAAATTTCAGCCTTGGGATCAATGTTTCAGTCCCTCAGGATTTGTCGATACCGCTGGCGGATGTCAAGATCCCGCTTCGCTCTTAGAACAAGGCTCCTCGGAGGTTTTCGGTTTTCTGGAAACTGGGTTTTCGGGACAGCGGTTTTACAACTGGAATTTATCATTACAGAGCCGCTGAAGACAAATCAGAATGCCACTGTTAGATAGAATCTTCCAGCAATGATAAAATCCGGCCGTTGCCCACCAGAAAATCCAATTGTGAAGGCTATAACAACAAGGAAACGTACACACGATGCTCGAGAGAGCCCCCCATACTTACCCTTTCGGCGTGAAAGTGTTTTTGCATATCGCGGAGGTTTCGTGATGTCGCAGCTAGCAAAAAGGGCTTATAAAAGGGCTTATAAAATACATTTATCTCCCCGTTGACTTTTTTACGTAAGTCTCTGCAAAATTCGACTTCAGTCACTTCGTTACCATTGGTTCATAACCAGTGCAACTTGTTTGGGGAAATTGTAAACAGGGTGCAACTACCTTCACCAATTGTTCGTGGGCGGGGTTTTGACAGGGAACAGATCAAATTCGCGCGCAGCAGGTGAGCATCGTGTGTACACTACATCAGGGCTGACGAAGTAAGGGCAGTTTTTCTTCGCCTGAACATTCCGGGTTATTTTTCGGCCGGCTGGTCATTTTCAAGTGTTCCTTTCGGGTGTCTTCCGTGTCCACTAAGGGTTTCAGCGGGCCCTTTCCCGTGCTCCCTTCAGCCCTTCTCCTGATTATAAGTATGCGGCTAGGTTTGTGGGACCCCCCCCACCTGTTCAGCCCCCTCCCCCACCCCCTCCCCCTAACACACAGGAAACAGCGAAGACTCTGAAACACACTGGAACTTTGTCCAACTTACTGAGACACGTTGAATATTGGGCAAGCCATCCAAGCACTCTGGAAAATCGGCTAAGCCACTGAGTCGCTCAGGAAAACAAGTGAAGTGACTGAGCCACAATGTAATTAGGCAAGTCACTCATTCTGCTCTCGACTACACCGCCCCACCCCAACCCCCTCGCGTCACTCCCCAGGTACATCAATTTCACAGCCCAACCCTGGCTCTGTGTGATTTTTGCCCAAAAAACGGGCAGGATTCTGGCCCCAGTGCCTGCACTACATACTGTTGGTCAATCACCCCCTCCCTCGCCAACTTCAACTCCTGGGCAGGGAGGCATGGAATTGTCGTTTTTCCCTGTGGTTGAAGTTGTGGGGATGGAAGAAGTCCCCCAACTTCAACACTGGCTGAGTCAGCCAAGTTCGAGCAGTGCTGACTGGATTTCAATCACACGCGTCGGACGTGCAGTCATTAACCTATACACCTAGCCCGCGCTATTTTCACGCCCTGCAACTTGTTTCGGCAAGCACCCTGAACCCGATTTTGAATTTTACCAGTAAACTCCCAGAATTTGAAGGCTACAAACCACTCGCCAAGTGTCGAGATATTAAAAAAAAAACCGCACTCTTACCGCGGCGACTCGACCATAGTTTATTGTGACCCGTTTTTAATCCCCTCTAACTCCTCAGAGATGTCTGAAACGTACCCTCTTTAAAACGAAAGCAATCGAAACAGCCCTTTAATATCGGGTAAATCAGAAATAATTACACAGGGGGGTGAAAATGGCCCTAGTGAATTTGGCGCGGGCTAGGTGTAGCACTACTATTTGTCATTTGGCATTGTCTTCACGCTGTAGCCCGCCTTTTCAGGTAACCGTCTTCTAGGCGATGAAAGCGGACAGCGCAGCCGAGCGTGGCGATAGCTTTAGTTTCCAGATCGGGCGCGGCTTTGCGATGGCTGCGCATGTGGCTGCGATCGGTTGGATAGGACCAGCAGATCCGGTCTATCATAGAGCCGCTCCGGGATGATTCCGTCTTTCGCTCGGCCCGAGCGAGGCCTTTCCCTTTGGTCTCCGGGGGACCCACTCTCCGCCGCGTCGCATCCCTGGTACAGGGAAGGCCTATCATCATGATACAGAGCATTGGTACAGAGCATTTCTAAGGCTTACTTGTCTCAGCGAAGTAAGTGCTTTGTTATTTGTATATGTTTGAACATAGTACGGCAGCCTAGGCATTTTAGGAGGCCGCAATGCCGCTCCAGTGGTGGCACCACCCCTGTCAGTCGCACGCGCACAGAGCGAATAGAGCAGAGGAACTTCCGGAGCGCGCACCGCCGCGGCGCGCGAGCATCGAGCGAGCGAGCGGCCGAGTCAGCGAGCCCAGCTTACCCTATTACCTTCGCAGCGAGTCAGGCGGCTCCACCCGTCCGACTCGGACCACTTGTGGCACAGCCTCCTGCCAGCCATGGCGCCGCCGCGCCAGTCTCCTCCGCGCGGGACGCGGTGCGTCCCGCGGCTGCTGCTGCTGCTGCGCGACCCGCCGCGGCTGCTGCTGCTCGCCGCCCTAATCGTCTCGGCGACTGTCGCCGTCTCTCATCATGTTACAAACGCCCCAGTTACCTACGTGCAGGCCGCTCGGAGCATGAGGTTCGGTCCGGGGTACTCTGCGTCTGTCAACCCCGCAACCAACCCGCCTGCGCCCGTTGTCAACTGGAATGGCGCGCCTCTCGCGCATGATACGCACCAGGGTACAATCCCCCCCCTCACCTACGTGCCGGCCACTCAGAGCGTGCAACTCGGTCCGGAGTACTCTGTGTCTTTAAACCCCGCAACCGACCCGCCTTCGCTGGCCATTGTCGACTATAATGGCAGGCCTGTCGCGCCCACTTATAACGCGGACGGATCCGCTACCGTTGCCGGGTACACCGCGCACCGAAACGGCACCATCACTGGTCCGGGCGGCCTTGCCATCTACCTTGGTGCTGGCAATGCCTTGTTCTCCATGGGAACAACAACAGTCCTGAAAAACGGAACCATCGTGGACGGTTCGGGAAAAAAGCTCGTGCCTACCAAAAGACCAGACGGGTCGTACACAGCAGGGGACCTGACTGGGTGGCCTAGTATCGGCATAATCATTGGCAGCGGCGGCGCCGTGATCAACGCCGGTGCGCCGCTTACCGTCACAGTAGACGGCAGCGTCGCTTTCGCTCTGGACGTTGCTCCTATTCCCCTCCCTGGCGTCGCCATCTCGGTCAACCCTGCCACCCGCAGCTTGCGGTTCGGAGGCTATACACTGTTGTTGAACGGCAATAAGCCCTCCCTCCTAGACTGCTTGAGCCGGCCTGTCCGAACCACTGCCAACCCTGATGGGTCCCTCTCTCTTGGAAACTACACCCTTTACAAGAACGGCACTATTGCTGCTCCCGATGGGATTGCCATTGACACTGTTGGTCCCAACACGGGGCTGCGTGTGGGAACAACGACGGTTTTGATAAACGGAACGGTTCTGGACGGTTCGGGAGCGAAAATCACGCCGACGGGGCCGAATGAGGACGGGTCGTACAGTGCAGGGGACGTTAAAGGGTGGACCAATGGTACTATTATTAGCACCAAGTCCGGTGTGGTGCTGTATGCTGGGGCGCCGCTTGCTCTTACAGCTGATGGCCGCGTCACTTTGGCTTCTCCTACCATTCCCACTGCTGCTCCTTCGGCTGGTGTTGCTGTTTCCTCTGCTGCTGCCGCTTCTCCACCTACTGATGCCGCTGCCCCCTCTACTGATGCTGCTTCTCCCCCTGCAAATGCCGCTGCTCCTACTGCTGGTGCCACTTCTCTCCCTGATGGTGCCACTTCTCCCCCTGCTGGTGCCTCAACTCCTGCCGCTGCTCCTCCTTCTCCCAAGACTGCTGGTGAGTTGTTTCTCCCATGCTTCTCCCATGCTTCTCCTCCCATTCTTCTCCTCCCATTCTTCTCCTCCCATGCTTCTGCTTCCATGGTTCTCCTCCCATTCTTCTCCTCTCATGCTTCTCCTCCCATGCTTCTGCTTCCATGGTTCTCCTCCCATTCTTCTCCTCTCATGCTTCTCCTCCCATGCTTCTGCTTCCATGGTTCTCCTCCCATTCTTCTCCTCTCATGCTTCTCCTCCCATGCTTCTTCTCTGCCTCGTTTTTGCCTTCCTGCTTGGTACCTCGCCCTGTTGTAAATCCGCTGCAAATTTCCACATCTCTCTAATCCGATCCCTCCTTTTTTTCCTGCCCTCTTTTTTGGTTCTTTTCCAGTAGGTTGTTCTGACCTGATGCTGTTTTCCCTGCTGTTCCCCCTCGCATTGGCAGGTTCGCTTGCTTCACCACCCACTGCTCTCACCGCTCTCATCACTCTCGCCCTCTCCCCGCTTGTGTTCATATAGAGCAACACTCCATGTATTACCAGTAGTCGTGGTCGCGCGGTGGCTTTTGAGTCGACTCAAAGAGTCGGTTCGCTTGCTTCACCGCCCACTGCTCTCATCACGCTCGCCCTTGCTCGCCCCGCTCATGTTGAGCAGCGCTGCTCCATGAAAGACCAGCAGGTGTGGGCTATGCTGTAACCAGTACCAGTAGTGAAGTCTGCACCATGACGGGGGTGGTATAAAGATTCGCCCTAAAACGGGGGTATAACGAAAATGATGCTAAATAAAACTCCTACCTCGCACAAAGGGGTGTGGCGAGGTGGGCACGCCTTTTTTCAGAAGAGTTTTCAAGACCGCTCTCAAAAGCAGGCATGCTCTCATTCACGAACAGCCCCTAGGGTGTGTGAAGCCGGCTGTGCACAGATTTCGCCGTTGGGTGAGTCGGATCAGATTCTACAGCTTGTGCAAGATAGAACAGGTGTTTCAAAAATCTGGTTCACTCCGTAAAAATGTGATGACGCTAGCGTTTGCTAACATCCAGCAGCCTCAGTCAATTGGCCACTCACGTACCGGTACCGTTATTGCCCGGATATAAGACATATATGTCTTATCTTGTACACGGGCAAAAATGTATGATTTATCTTGTATTCGGGATGGTCTAGGGAGTCTTATAAGTCTTATAAATGGAAAAAATATAAGTAGTTTGTAACATTTGCAAAGTGTGTAGAAACTGTTACGAATAGTAATATTTGATATTACTGTGCACTCCTCACCGCAGCAAAAAGGAGCACGCAGTATCGAGAATGAACGCGAAGAGTTAGATGGTTGGAAGTTGACTCGAAGCGTCTGACAGTTACAACACATCAGGACCGTCGGCATCGGGCAGCTGCAGGCAGGATGGTTTTGGCGGGAACAGTTTCGTAACTGTACGCGCCGCACGGTTGGGAATGTATTTGAATAAGGGAATGCGTGGCGGCTTGCACTCAATACACAAAGAGCCTTCGTCGTATGTGAATATGTATTGATTGACTGTGATATTGCATCATACTACCCAACCTTACTTATTCAATTGCTTGAAGCAGGCTTAGATTGCCCATATCTTTTGCCCATTTTAAAGGATTTTTTGAAGGAACGTTTAGATCTAAAGAGTAAAGGTCAAAAGGATTCTGCCGGAGTTTATAAAATCATATTAAATTCAATTTACGGTTCTACAAATTATAAACAGTCTAAAATTTATGCTCCAACTATAACCCTTAGAGTACATGGCTAGTCTAGGTCGTTTCGTATTCCCCTGTACTCTTATTTATATCGCTGTATTTGCATGTTTTTATCATCTCAAGCATTTTACATTCACTCTGCTATTGAGGTCAAGGGCCCACCAATTTCACTTCCCTGCGTGCGAACCTTCCTGGGTAGATCCTGGTGGCGATCAACTTCTGATCGCAGCATGGTATGAGAGCGACTCGGGAATCCTTCGCACTGCCACTCCCGAAAATTACGACATTCGGAAAGTGGCGTCCGTGTCAGAATATTATTGTCTAGCCTGCAATGGGGTGCTCAATAGTGAGTACAACCCCTTAGGGTTTCCTATATGTATCCTGCTGCTTGCTAGTTCATCATCATTCCCATTCTCACAATTCTCCTTCGTATACCACAAACCCTAGTCCTAGGGCACAACCTACTACCTCCTAGTGTGGGCCTAGGCTACTAAGCCTAGGCCCCACTCCTAGTATTCCTGACATGGTATTCAGAGCAGGCACGTTCCTGCCGCCTTCCTGTATGGGCCCACCACCTGCTTCCGCTGCCGTACTGTCCGCCGCGCGCCCCGTGGTGCGCGGCGGCCAAACCCTAATTTTTCATCCCGCCGCGCGCTCGGAGCGTGCGGCGGTTCTCTACCAGCCGTGCGCCCCGAGGCGCGCGGCGGTTTTCTGCCCGCCGTGCGCCCCGAGGCGCGCGGCGGTTTTCTGCCCGCCGTGCGCCCCGAGGCGCGCGGCGGCTTTCTGCCCCGTCACTCCGCGAGTCGCCCCCGGGAGGAGCTGCGACGGGCGACGGGGAGCCGCGCGTCGCCCCCCGTCGCCCGTCGTGGCCCGAGCGACCTCCGTAGGGCCCGCGCGCGGCCCGCCGGGTCCGCGCGCGGCCCGTACGGACTGCGCCAGGCCAGGGCGCGCCTCGAGCCGCCCGCCACTGCAGCAGCAGCCCCTGGAGCCGCCAGCAACTGCAGCAGCAGCCCCTGGAGCCGCCAGCAACTGCAGCAGCCGCCCCTGGAGCAGCCGCCCCTGGAGTCGCCCGCCACTGCAGCAGCCGCCCCTGGAGCCGCCCGCCACTGCAGCAGCCGCCCCTGGAGTCGCCCGCCACAGCAGCAGCCGCCACTGGAGCCGCCCGCCACTGCAGCAGCCAACCCTGCAGCTGCATGCGACGCCGCTCCTGGTCCCGGTGCAGCCGCCTCCTTTTCCTGTCACCCGCAGTCTTGTTCCTCTCGTGCTGTATGTGTCGCTTCTAGCCCGCTCCGTGTTCGTTCGTCTTGCTCGTGTATTTGTTTGTTTTGCCTGTGTTCGTTTGTTCTACCTACCTACCTACCTACCTGCGCCCTCGTGCCTTGTGCCTTGTGCCTTGTGCTTCGTGCCTCGTGCCTCGTGCCTCGTGCATCGTGCGCCCTGCTCCGCGCTGTTGCTCTGCACGCGCGGTTGCCCGCGCCCTCGTGCGCTCTACCTACCTACCTACCTACCTGCGCCCTCGTGCCTTGTGCCTTGTGCCTTGTGCTTCGTGCCTCGTGCTTCGTGCCTCGTGCCTCGTGCATCGTGCGCCCTGCTCCGCGCTGTTGCTCTGCACGCGCGGTTGCCCGCGCCCTCGTGCGCTCTACCTACCTACCTACCTACCTGCGCCCTCGTGCCTTGTGCCTTGTGCCTTGTGCTTCGTGCCTCGTGCTTCGTGCCTCGTGCCTCGTGCCTCGTGCATCGTGCGCCCTGCTCCGCGCTGTTGCTCTGCACGCGCGGTTGCCCGCGCCCTCGTGCGCTCTACCCTACCTGCTCCGCGCTGTTGCTCTGCACGCGCGGTTGCCCGCGCCCTCGTGCGCTCTACCCTACCTGCTCCGCGCTGTTGCTCTGCACGCGCGGTTGCCCGCGCCTTCGTGCGCTCTACCCTACCTGCTCCGCGCTGTTGCTCGGCACGCGCGGTTGCCTGCGCCCTCGTGCGCTCTCCCGCCCCGGCCCTCCCCCCCCCCCCCCCCCCCTGCGTCCCCTGGACAGGAGAGTGTGGGGGTGGCGGGTGTGGGGGTGCTCCGTGTGCGTCGCCCCTTCCTTCTCCTCCGTCTCCCACTGCTGCAGCTGCCGCTGCGGGGGGGTGGATGTGTGGGAGACGAGGGAGTGGCGCTAGGGGGGTGATGTGGGCGTGGAGCGAGTGGTGACCCTGGGGGTGAGTGTAGGGGGGAGTGAGACAGTTGGAGGAGGTTGCAACCTGGTGCTCCTGGTGCCCGTGTGTCTGCAACTTCAGTCGTCGCCTCCTCTCATCTCTCCCTCCACAGTTCCTCCTCCTCCTCACTGGCCTCCTGTGACTGCCACTAGCTTTGCTCATATTTGTGAACTATTGCACTGCCTGCTCATTGTACTGATTGCACCTCACTTTGGCTATGGGGGTGTGTCAGAATGTTATTGTCTAGCCTGCAGTGGGGTGCTCAATAGTGAGTACAACCCCTTAGGGTTTCCTATATGTATCCTGCTGCTTGCTAGTTCATCATCATTCCCATTCTCACAATTCTCCTTCGTATACCACAAACCCTAGTCCTAGGGCACAACCTACTACCTCTTAGTGTGGGCCTAGGCTACTAAGCCTAGGCCCCACTCCTAGTATTCCTGACAGTCCGGCACACGCTCGCGTGTGAAGATGGCCGGAGGATCTGGTGGTCAGACTAATCTGACGGCTGTAGCGCGACCCAACCCGGCTGCGACAAGCGAGGAAACGACGACGATCGGCACCGAAGTCCTCGCACAACTTCTTCAGCGACTCACCAGCCTGGAGCAAGGGCTCCAAACATTACGGAACGGCGATGCGGGAACATCCTCGCAACCATCTCAACCGGCCCCAACTGGGCAGAACGCCGTCCCGCAAACTTTCTCCCTCGACACAAATGGCTCAACCCCCAAGGCTCCCCGTCCCAGTGAAGAAGCAATTCTCTCAGCACAATCAAAGTTTCTCAGCATATCAAAAATAAAGACAAGTACCTGCTTTGACGGCAGAGATTTCTATACCTGGAGCTTCGAATTGGAGCTCCTGCTGCAGAACGCCCAAATCTTCCACTATTTCGACGGGAGCTACGCGGAACCCGCTGAGGACACCGACGACGCCAGGACTCGCTACTACAACGAGTCCCTGATGGCGTACGGAGTCCTCCTTCGCAACATGTCGCCGGCGGAGCAGTTGAACATCCGATCGTACAAGACATCGGCTGCTCCAGCCCTCGACGCTTGGCGCCACCTGAACGGCGTGTATCAACCCAAAGACTCTGTCTCTTCGAGCCGGCTACTTCAGCAGCTACTGGAGACCAAAATGGTCTCAGGGGAGAAGGTCAACAGCTACATCAATCGCTGTCGGAGCCTTCGCGATCAAATCGTGAAGTTGGGAAGCTCGATTTCGGAAGAAATCTTCGTCAACATCGTGCTTCAAGGGCTCGGCCCAGAGTGGCGGCCCTTCAAGGGGGTCATCACGGAGGCCGCTCTTTGCGCCGCCCTTCTCGCCGAAGGGATATGGATCAGCAGCAACCAGCGCCGCGACGAGAAAGAGAACGGATCGCCTTCTACGCCGACAACAACGAAGAGCGAAGACCGCGGCGCCTCTACTGCAAAATCTGCAGAACCTTCGGGCACTTGGCGGATCGATGTAAATACCGATCTCGCCCTCGCCAGACCAATCCGAGCAACTGGTCCGGCCGACAAGACGCACGAGGCGACGTGCGTCCAGCCCAGGGGTATCAACCCCCACCCGCGCGCAACCTGAACCCAGCGGTTCAGCATCAGCAGCAGCAGCCG